AAAAGCAAGTTCATCAAAAGTAATAATGTCATCGTTATCGCATACCTCACTAGGGTTACTACCTAGTGGTGTTGTACATGGGGATGAGGCTTCCTTAGAGCTCAAAGCGGGATTTTCCAACGCTTCTTGAATAGCCTCCAATTTTCCTTCATGTGCTTCAATAAGTTTCCATAAAGCATAAGCACTATCAAAATTAGCAAGTTTGTTAGAAAACGATGAGTGAAAAGCGCTAATCAAAAATCCTAGCAAAAGCTTGTTCATGTTAAACAATCTTTTATCATTATCACACCATTTGGATTTTTCCAAGATGGGAATAACATAACCATCCTCAATAATTTCCCACAAATCAAATTGATTAGATTGAACAAAAAGTTTGAATCTAATGCGCCATTGAGCGTAGGGGAAAATATCCAAACGAGGAGCAATATTAATAGCATATCCTAAGCAAGATGAATCATTCATATCCATAGAGATGAAATGCAAGAAGCACAATTAATCAAAATTAGATTAGCACTAATACAATAACTTGGATCTTTAACTCAAGGCGGTTAGTCCTTAAATCAAAGAGCACCAAGCTCTGATACCTCTTGTTAGACCCTAGAGGGGGGGTGATTAGGGTCTTATGCTAATCTAATCCCAATTAATAGCAATTAAAATTATGTTGATCAATATGTTCTTGCAAGAGATAGATATGAACAATAAGAACAATAAGAATATGCACAAATAAAATATGAGACAAGCAAAACACAAACACACGATATGTTTACGAGGTTCGGTCCCCACGACCTACGTCCCCGCTCCTCACCTCGAGGAGATATCCACTATCACAATCCGGTTTGGAAGCCGGAACTTCTACACACTCGGTTTACAAGTTCACCGAAAACTCTCACACTACACAATCACTCAACAATCACACTTTACACACTAAGTGTAGGAACCTAGCCCGTGTCCTCCTCCTCAAGTGCTCGATTACAACCTCTCCCTAGGTTCGTCAATCGACGCCACTCCTATTGGATTTGACCCCGTCTCTCTCTCCTCACACTTCTCTCGGTGTACAAGTGTATTACAAGTGATTCTCACAAATAAAAGTTAAATACAATGATTTGTTCTCAATTAACAAGTAAGAACACAATGAAGCTCACACTCACTAAATCACACCTCACAACCCACAATATATAATATGGAAATATCAAGCTCAATAAGTGTGTGTGATAATAGTGAATCAAACTCAATAAATAACTCAATGAATATAGCTAATCAAATGAAAGTAAAATAATAAGCTATATCTTAAATGAATATAGCTAATCAAATGAAAGTGAAATAATAAGCTATATGGAAAGAGTTTAGAAAAACTTCTCAATGAACAAGAGGAGCTAGAAATGATGATCCCAATAGGATATGAGAGCCTCTTCTTGTTGTAGAAAACTTTCTCTTGAAAACTGATTAACGAAACAACTCTTAAACAGCTCTTAAACGCGATTAATATCTTGTTAAACAACAAACTTGGATTTCTTAGTTATTAGAGAAGAAGAGCAGCAATGGGGTATATATAGGACCCCAAAACAACAGCTAGAAATAAGTAAAAGACCAAAAGACCCATTTGAAAAAACTAGCCGTTACACACTATCTGACAACTCGGCGGTCGACCGGTCCGGTCGACCGCTTAGTTCAAAAACCCAGAGAATGAACTTTTAAAGCTGGCAGTCGACCGACAGAATTTTCGGTCGACCGAATGGAAATTTCGGTTGACCGATGGAAATTCCGGTCGACCGGAAAACTCTCTGGAAATTTTCTCAGAAAAGGAACAACTGTCGGTCGACCGTACCGGTCGACCAAAATCTGACATATGCACATTTCCAGGTTTTGGGGCTGATTAGAACATCCATGAAAAATATCAAATTGAATCCAAAAATAATAAAACTTTGGGAAAAGTTTCTAAATGATAAAATAAACATGTTTGAAAAGAAATTTTTGGAAAATCAATTTTTGTTCGTGAAAACTACCCGTTTTTGAAAACTGCTTAGAAAAACTGTTTTTATATGAAAGTGAAAGTCAATATAGAACTTGTAAATATGTTTATATATGTTATGCATATATTCTATGTATACAATGAAATATTAAAGAGCTGTAAGCATGAGAGAAAAGTTATTGTAACAACGTTTGATGAGAAATCATTTATATGATAGAAAACATCAAAAATCGTGTTAAGTGTACATATATTGAGCTTAGATATAATCATACAATATATGTAAGTAAACTAAACAATATACCTAGGTAAAACCACACAATAGAACTTGAATCTTTAACGCTTGACTGACTTGTGTTGAAATACCTGAAAAGAAACCATAAACACAAAAACACTAGAAAACTTATTAGTAATAAATTGTTTGCCAAATCATCATCAAAACTATAGGGTCAACAGAGGCTTCCATCTCAAGTTTAGGGCTGGTTTTTTAATCCCTATCATCTCATAATACCATAGCTGTCAAAATAGAAGCAATAAATATTTGTCATAATTTTCCTAACTATCAAAACTCTCTGTTCAACTTCGTTCTAAATAGCTAACTTTCAGAGTTAAAAGGTTAACTTTCACTAATACAGGTTAACATTAATGAGTACAAAAAGGTTAACTTTCACTAATACAGGTTAACATTAATGAGTACATGTTAACTTTCAATTAAACATGTTAAGTTATCAGGTTTCCATGTTAACTTTTTTAACATTAATGAGTACATGTTAACTTTCAATTAAACATGTTAAGTTATCAGGTTTCCATGTTAACTTTTTATAATTACATGTTAATTTTCACCAAATCCTGTTAACATTCAATCTTGAACATGTTATCTAATGACTGTAACCAAAACTATTAATAACTAAAACCATATATGAACATGGAACTTACAGGGATAAGCGACATGCATCAGGGTACGTACGTACCCCTGGTTTCCTCAACCCTTCAACGACAATTTGAATGCCTCTCTTCGTCTCGTCAAAAATAAATTTGCCCCAGGCAATGCTCTTCACTCTCTCAATACTATCAACATATTAAAACAACAATCTTGGGATGCCTTGCGAGCTGTTCGGGCACCAAATCATTGAACACTGGTACAAAATTTGAAGAATCACAAAATCCTTAATGTCCTTATTATCACTTGACTCAACAAGTGACTCCAGTAACTCTTCAACATATTTCCTCATGCTACCAGCTTCTTTTGTAGCCCTGGCCTTTGACTTTGCCTTGTCCTTCAACATTTCTTTCTTATCTTCAAAGAACTCCCTTCAAAGCCGGTTGAAAGGGTCTCTATTCCTATAGATCAAATCCCCATCAATAGGAAAGCCCGTGTGGGTTTGCACTCACTCTTCATCAAATTTGACTGAAACTAGAGACCCTATTTGAGGACCGGGAAAAGAGAATTCATCAGTTTTGGCATAATAATGACTGAGCACAAGCTCTAGTGCCCGTCGATCATGTGCTGGAGGTCCGAAGAATACATAGTGCTCAAAGTTAGTGCCCTTGTAGGCATCCCAATGCCACTTCTTCATTTTTGGTTGAAGTTTTTGCATGAATATACAATACGATCCTTGTAGGCATCCCAATGCCACTTCTTCATTTTTGGTTGAAGTTTTTGCATGAATATACAATACGATCCGAAACATGCACTAGGCCTTTGAAGTTTTTGCATGAATATACAATACGATCCGAAACATGCACTAGGCCTTATATCACCTACAACATCAATTTTCCTGCATGAACACAAATCATTCAAATTTAAATTAGGTAACAGTTAACAGTTAAATGAATTAACTAATTACAAGTTAATATTTATTAACATGAATAGCTAATAGTTAACACTTAAGGGTAAACATCTACAACATACGAGAATTATTGACATTCATTGCTCCAAAACTAAGAACCTAGTTCAACACTATAATAACCAGTTTCTGACTAATATTTTCTCATAATCAGAACCAATAAACCTCAATTAAATACAAATCACTCAATTAAATTAACTAAATTCAAAATCACGCAATTTATTGGGAACTTACTTCTTCTTTGAGGTGAACGCTTCTTTCGCCGAGTGTTTCCTCTTCCCCTCTCGATTTTCCAATACCCTTTTCATGCTCAATAGGGTTTCTGTCATCTCATTACTCTCCTCTTCCTCAGATGATATCGGAGGAGAACTACCGACGGGAGATATGAGGGCATAGGCAGAGGCGGATAACCTTGGCATTTCCTCCTTCGCCAATCGCGCCGAACGTCACTGGTGATGAAGCATTTCCTCCTTTTTTCTTAAATTTTTTGGTTATTTTTCTGTGTGGTTTTCCTGGACACTTGAGTGAATTACGGTTTTCAAAATGGGTCTGGAGATGAGCTTGGTTTGCAGAGAGCGAAGATGGAGAGAGAGAGAGAGAGAAGACAG